TTGGCTTTTGTTTTTGTTTGTACTGTTTGTAGGATCGTGCGAAATACCGCTACTGCCAGTCCGTTATTTGCAACAAAGATATTAGCGAAGAGATATGCAAAATATAAAAGAATATTAAAAAATAATCAGATGAAAAGAATGTTTCTGTTCATTAAGTCGCATACATTCCTACTCAGCAAAAACTGAATTTTTTCAGTGCGACGGTTTTAGTGTTAATGTGTGTATAAGGGAAACATGGAATAAATATGTGCAAATTTTTAAAGGGCTAATTTCTTGAATACCAGGAAATAGGTGCAAACCTCTATCATGTATTTGCCGACCAACAGAGTTCCCATCGCAGTCGCTCTCAGAAGGCTCTTTAACTTTCCATAGGTCCACAGCAATTTTTGTTGTAGGCTTTATAAATGTGAATTCAGCCAAATTTTGCATTTTTTGAGGACGAAATAACAAATGAGTGAAATTTCAACAAAGTAATTCATCATATTCTGGCGCATGATGCGCATGAAAAGATGCGTGAGGCTGATTTGAGGGATTTTGCCGGTCCTGGCCAAAGGAACACAAAAATCACCAGTGAGGTATTAAGAACACACACTAAGTTACATAAATCTGCAGAAACAGATACGAAAATAGTAAATTTTACTGCTGTGGAATTCGATGCAGAGTTACAGGAAAATAACTAACAATTTTTCATTCAGCCCAAGTTATGCCTATTGAAGAGGAATGCCATGTCTCCAGACATGTAGTTGTGCTGCCTTTCTGTTCTGTTGAGACTGTACCTTTCGTGTTAATAAAGTTCCAAACCGGACTATTTCCATCAAATACTGGACGAAGATGAAGTAGGAAAGAAGATGCCTTTCGGTCGAGAGATGGTTGGGTGATAGACATGCACTGCTGACGATTGCAAGAAGTTGGGTAAGCAGCCTTAAGGTTTTCGTTCTGATAGAGTCAGGGTCCGAGAAGATAATGCAGTGCGCAGTACATTTCATTTGAATAAAGACGCTACAATATTGAGTAATTGGTAATAACTGAACAAGTAACTGAATAATGAAATGGCTCTATTACCATATCTGCAGCGAAAGTCCAACCAACCTGCGATAATCGGTTGAAAATCTGACAAGATTGGAGTAAGTCAGAAGCATCCGACCATTTTTCAGCTATATGCTATGTTGCATTATCTCAAAGAAGCATGAGCAAATTCGCTCATGCTTCTTTGAGATAATACAACATAGCATATAGCTGAAAAATGGTCGGATGCTTCTGACCACAAAATCCAGGGCTTAAGCTGTCGTGGAGCAGTTGGAACAGCATGTCTTTTACGTAATGCATTTGTACTGGCCAAAGCAATTTTGCTTTAGGATTACGAAATAGAATAGCAAGCTAGTGGCTTGGCAAGTTTTATTTTAAATGTCAAGAGAGGGAAATGTATAAAATGGGGATGCTCTGGTCCATTAAGTTGCATACATTCTGCTTCATTCTCACAACTGGACCTCATCGGCACGACAGCTGTGGTACAGCAAAGCGTAATTTGAATTCTGATACGAATGACAAAAAGTGACAAAAGCAGAAGGAAATAAAAGCAGCACCAGAAGATGGAAGAGAAGCGGAAAGATGTGGGAGATTTGGATATCAGCTTTGGTGACTAGCACACAGTGCCGTAAAAG